TGCCGGAGGAACGAGCGCATGGATTCTGCGGGGACACCAAGGGACAGGGACAGTGTCACCAGGGGGGACAGGAGACAAGGGACAGTGTCACCAGGGGGGACAGGGACGGGGACAGGGATGGAGAGAGGGACAGGAAGGAAGGAAGGGAGGAGTGCATCGACTCTGCAGGGACAGCAGGGGACAGTGTCACCATGGGGACAAGGACAAGGACAGTATCACCAGGGGGGACAGGGGACAAGGGACAGTGTCCCAGCGGCTCCACGAGCGCTGCCGAAGGAACGAGCGCATGGATTCTGGGGGGACACCAAGGGACAGGGACAGTGTCACCATGAGGGGACAGGGGACAGGGTCACCGGGGGGACAGGGACAGTGTCACCAGAAGGGACAGGGGACAGGGTCACCAGGGAGACAGGGACAGGGTCACCAGGGGGGACAGGGACAGTGTCACCAGAAGGGACAGGGGACAGGGTCACCAGAAGGGACAGGGGACAGGGTCACCAGGGAGACAGGGACAGGGTCACCAGGGGGACAGGGACAGTGTCACCAGGGGGGACAGGGGACAGGGACAGGGTCACCAGGGGGGGACAGGGTCACCAGGGGGACAGGGAACAGTGTCACCATGGGGGTACAGTGTCACCAGGGGGGACAGGGGACAAGGGACAGCGTCTCAACAGCCCCACGAGCGCTGCTGCAGGAACGAGCGCATGGACTCTGCGGGGACAGGGACAGGGTCACCAGGGGGGACAGGGACAGGGGACAAGGGACAGAGGACAAGGGACAGCGTCCCAGTGGCCCCACGAGCGCTGGATCGACTCTGCGGGGACAGGGGACAGGGACAGTGTCACCAGGGGGGATAAGGGACAAGGGACAGGGTCACCAGGGGGGACAGGGACAGTGTCACCACAGGAAGGAGCGCATCGACTCTGTCACCCTTGTCCTCCTGCCACCCTCCCATCCCCCTGTCCCCCTTCTGTCCCCCCATCGTCTCCCTGTGTCACCCCTGTCCCCCCCATCCCCCTGTGTCACTCCCCCATCCCCCTGTGACCCTCCTGTCACTCCCCTGTCCCCCTGTCCCCCCCTTGTCCCCCCCTGTCCCCCCTGTCACCCTGTGTCACTCCCGTCCCCCTGTCACCCCCCTGTCCCCCTGCCCCTCCTGTCCCCTCTACCCCCATGTCACCCGTCACCCCCTGTCCCCCGTCACTCCCTGTGTCACCCCCCATCCCCCTGTGACTCTCCTGTCACCCCTCTGTCCCCCTATCACCCTCCATCCCCCTGTCACCCCTTGTCCCCCTGTCCCCCGTCACCTGTCCTCTTGTCGTAGTCGCTCTCGGCCATCTCGTACTTGGGCACCTGCGACAGGTCCTCGAACTCTCCCACCCGGGCCCCGCTGCGATCCGTCACCTGGGGGGGGGG